GGCCAAAAGTGCCCTGAAGGCATTCGAGGAACCAAAAAAAAAAAAAAAAAAAAAAAACACACCTTATTCCAATACTGATGAATGAAACTATATTTATGAATATTAAGTTATCTTTAGCTTAAGAAACTATGATAAAGAAAATAAAATCCAGAAATTCAATCAAACACATTTTATTTAAATATTACCACTGTGGACCTCTCCTGAATTACAAGCCTACTAAGAACACTAGAGCCTCTCTTTGCTCTTACGTCACTGCTGGTGATGATTTGAAAGCCTCATTAAAGTGATACATGTTATACATAATCCATACAGATAATACTGGCACATGAGTATATAGGCTTATCCACGTACATACGTCTGCATGCGTATTGTATATACACGTTATTTTTTTCTGGTAAGAAGTAGTGATCACTTTTCAGCACCATAAAGCAGAGAGGCTGGGCAGTCAGACCCAGCATGCTAAAGGAAAGAGTTGGAATGTTTCATGAGTACCCAAATGTATTTGTCACCCCGCTGGCCTTTCCCTTTACATCCTGGGCATATCTCCAACAGTACATTTACTACACTTTGTTGAACTAAACTATTATGTGTCTTCTCCTTCACGAGACTATAAGCATTTCACAAGCAATGAATAAGCCACTCATTTGCATTCTTGGCATCTAGCACCATTTTGCTCAAAAGTTAGGGCCAATGTAGGCTAAAGATGTAAACTACCATGTTAACACAATAAATCTATTTTAACAAGCAGCACTCTTCCAAAATGATACTGTATATAATTTCTTGCATCCCACATAAACTATCTAAAACATAACTATAAATGCAATATATTTTATTACAAAGAAAATATGCTGAGCACAAAGTACATCTAAAATTAAACTGCACAATGCAAGAGCTTAAACCTGTACCAAGAGACCCAATGAAATTCTGTTCCATCCCCAGGTGCTCTCATCACGTTAGTGCATTGGCCCTGCAGCAAAAGATTTACCATGGTACTTAGCCACAACCCAGAAGAGGGGTCACTGTCAAGGGCAGTGGGTAATTTCCATGGGTCTCAGTGATGTCTTTTTACTTCTGACCAATGAACCAGAAGGGTTAGTTCTTCTCTAGGGGCCTTTCTGATTCCAGCATTTTATAGGATTTATAAAGTCCAGTGGGTATATTTAGAATGGACTATGTATACCATGATTATACCAAGGTGACTTTTCCCACTTACTCAATTTTCCCACTTTCCCTATTTGAAAGTGGGAAAAGTCACCTTGGTATAACTATGGTATGTATACATACATACTTCCTCAAAGGCGATGTGTGAAGATGAAGTTAATCCCTTCTCTAGCCACTCCTAACTCTAGTCTCATTCCTACCCCCTGAGGAATTCTAGATGAGGACTCTGGCTTCCAAGGTACACACCTCTGAGCATCCTGCGAGACTCTGCGTCTTTGGTCATTGTTGCCAGCGAATGAGGAAGCACGCTGCCACAGCTGTTGCTCTGTCCCAGAGGCAAGTGACCCTGTGAGAACCAGGAGGGAACACTTCAGGCACACTGTACACCACACGGTCCTCCAGGGAACACCCACATCCCTGTTTCCAAAGCTCCTATCTGAATATATATAGAGAGAAGGCAGTTCTCTACATTCCGTTTGCTGATGCTTAAGGGGAAAGACCAGTCACTGTCCTTCCAAAAAGGCTCCATGGAAGTCTCAACATCACAGAACTTCTCCAATAAGAGTGGTTCCAAAAAATCTAGGCAGATGAGGAAGATGCTGTCTGCAATCACCTGAGGAAAAGACTGAAAGTACTTCATGCACAAGGAGCAGAGGACAGATGCAAGAACAGAAATGCATGCATTCCATGCAGGACAGGGCCATCTACACTTGTTCCATCTGCCCCCAGCCACACAGGAGACTGCAAATTTCTCAGTGGTTTTAGCCTTCTTTTTAAATGGCAAAATCTTTCATGTAAACAAAATACACCTGAAACACCAATTTATATAACAGGTTAAAATAAAATTACTAGGGGCCAGGGAGATAGCTCAGTAGAATAAGCACTTGCCTGGCAAGTGCAGGGTCCTGAGTTCAATCCCTGGTACTGCAAATAAATAAATAAATAAAT